AGGAAGGAAGGAAGGAAGGTCGATCATTTCAGATTTGGTTTTCAGAAAGTTACAGCAGTCACAGCACTGAGAAGGAAGGAAGGAAGGAAGGAAGGTCATTTCAAATTTGGTTTTCATAAAGTTAGAGCAGTCACAGAACTGTGAAAACCAAGATATGTTTAGCTCACAAATATTTGAAAAAAGCTGCAGTACCATACTGATGAGTTTCATGGCTGCCCTTGAGAATGAAAAAGCACTCCTGGCTTGAAGTGTCAGTTTCTCAGCCCGTTTCAGATTAGAAAATGATTAATCATTGAGTCATTCAGAGTTATATTTGATAATTTTATGAGCCAAGGTTTGTCCTGAGTGAATGAAACTAAATTTCTTCTGTGACCTCAATTTGAACTTGAACAGTGATCCTGGTAGCCACATGTCCGTCTTTTGCAGTGTTTCTTCAATCACTATTTTAATCCCCACCTTTTGTAACCTTAGTAAAAAAAATAGTATATTACATTTACTGCAGTTATTAGAGAAGTTGCCAATGTTTAAAGACAATCTCCTCTAGAATTAATCTGTTTCTGTGTATGAAATCTAAGGCATAAAATATTTCAATAACAATGTTCTCAGACCTTAAAGAATAGAGAGAAATGGCATTTTTTTTTCTTTAGATATAGGATGAAGCCAAACACACTGTACATTGCCATTTTGAATCCAAATTCTCCCAGAAGCCCTCATGGCTCCTCCCATCCTGTAGCAAAAAGGGAAACATTCAGCGGAACATGTTCTGGGTGCATAGGGCTGGAGAAGGAAAGTAACAAGACCCATTTCCATTCATGGTCTTCTGGATCCAACCCATTGTCCCCATCTGGTTCGTGCAAATCTCCTCTTGAAATGAATTTTTCTGGTTTAATTAAAGGCATACTTAAAAAAACAACTCTATTCTCTAAAGAAGCCATTCTCAATGGGAGCCATATCACCCCCTGAGGGACTCTGGCGCATTTGAGGGGGGGTGTCACAAGTAGGAAATAATTCTTCACACACCACTTTATGAGGTACTTGTTGTGCAACTTATAGAATCCTGATTCACCCTGTATTTCTTTCATCTGATGTTTATGGCCATGGCAAAAAAAAAAAAAAGGTTGAGAATAGGTGTTCTAAGGATTAAATAATGTACATGTTAAACAACACTACACCGAACACTGTCTGGATGCTGTTATTGTGGTAAGGGCCCTGTTATATTCCAAGAAGCGAAACATCATTTCCGTGCCCCAAGGAAGCAACGGCCATTTCAAAAATATCACAAGCAAAGCCATTTACTGTATACTATACTACTGAGACTGAAAGAAATGGTTTTGGGGGGGGAAAACAATGGTTTGGGGAAAATTTGTTTCCTCTTGTGTAAAACACTGATGCCTAAAGAGCCTGCTCTAACTTGCACAGAGGTGCATATTTCTGTGGATGTGTGTGCATGCGCACCCCTGTGTGTACAGGCATGTGTGCATGTGTACAGAATATGAGCATGCGCGTATTAGGAACTTCCTAACATTTTCTGGAGAGGTGTTCACTCTCAGTCCTTCAGCTTTCTTTCTTAAATACTTCCAGGCTTCTTTCTTAAATACGACCGGCAGACCTCCAATATCTGATGGTCTGCGGAAGTGGACTTGTCCAGGAAAGCTCACATTAAAATATAGTACAGCAGTTAGTTTTTAAGGTGCCACAAGGTGTTTTTGTCTTCTTTATTTTTCTTTTGGCTTTGCCTGATATATTGTCACCTGAAGGTATACATCTTGGGAAGGAGAGTTAACATGAGTACAAGAGTGGCTGACAACAAGCTGACTCTTAGGAGGTTACCTTTAAAATGGGCTAGACCGTGCTAGAATGGCATACTGCCCACCATTAGTCAGAATGTAAAAATATCTATCCAGAGGAGTTGTTCTTTCCAAGAGTGTGGGAAAACAACTCTTCCAAACTCTACATTTTTGACAGCTTCTTTAGGAACTGCCCACACTGAGACCTGCAAGCAAATCTACATGACTAATTAAATTTAATTAATCGTTATAATTGTAATTGTATTTTTTTATGATTTTTATACATGTTATATTGATGTGTTTTTATCTGTGTAAGCCGCCCTGAGTAGACATTGTCTAGAGGGGCGGGGTAAAAATAAATAAATAAATAAATTTAGTAGAATTTGCGTGTGTCTCAAAATTTTATCTATGGCTCATTGGGTTGCTTCGTATTACCCTTATGTTAAGAAAAATTAAAATTCTGCTTTATTCTGTTTTATGTGTTATTGTGGGATTTTTTTGGTTTGGTTGTACATTTTATTGTACCCAACCTGTGGCCATTTACTGCAAGAGGCACCTTATAAATATTTGAACTAAGTAAGTAGTTTGTAAGGTAAAGGTAAAGGTTCCCCTTGACAATTTTTGTCCAGTCGTGTTCGACTCTGGGGGGCGGTGCTCATCCCCATTTCCAAGCCATAGAGCCAGCGTTTTGTCCGAAGACAATCTTCCATGGTCACATGGCCAGTGCGACTTAGACACGGAATGCTGTTACCTTCCCACCGAAGTGGTCCCTATTAATCTACTCGCATTTGCATGCTTTCGAACTGCTAGGTTGGCGGGAGCTGGGACAAGTGACGGGCGCTCCCTCCGTCACGTGGATTCGATCTTACGACTGCTGGTCTTCTGACCGTGCAGCACAGGCTTCTGCGGTTTAGCCCACAGCGCCACCACGTCCCTAAGTAGTTTGTAACAAAAAAAGAAATTGTTATACACATAAATTTGATATTCTTTAACTTGGATTCCTGCACTGAGCAGGGGATTGAACTCAATAGCCTTAAAGGCCCCTTCCAACCCTATCATTCTGTGATTCTATGAATATAACAGAAGCCATTTTTTTACAATGTATCTTTATATATAGATGGCAAATTAGGAATGGGGCTACTGGATCTAAAATTTAAGGTGCAGTTTAGAAGCAAACCTGACCAAAGATATTTTGCTGTCTTAGACAAGTAAACAAGTGGTATCTTTTCTACCCCCTTCCCTGTCTGGAAGCTTAGATGAGGAAAACCTTGTGTGTTGTTTTTAAATGTATTTGGGGGGGGGGGAGTTGATAAACAATGGCACATTTGCCAAGAAAGTCATACAGTGGAATAGCAAGTATGCCCCATTCGCTCCTTTATCCCTAAAGAACACTTATCCAGGCAAAGAGGCCTTCTTCCCATCTTGCTATTCTCCGTGTGAAGCAATTATCAGGATAATTGAAGAGTCCCCCTCCCTATCATTTGTATTTCTCTCTCCTTTGTAGCCTTCTACAAAGAAGCAAAACAATGGCTCCTGCACGCTTTTTGGCTTTTTCGAGATACCTAGGAGAAGAGGCTCGGTCCGCCTCTCAAGCAGCTGAAAAAATGGAAGCTTCAATACAGGAATTGAAAGAGAAATTTCACCAGAGGCATAAACGATCCTTGCTTCAGAGCGGTAAATAAATAAACAAGCAGGTGCTGGAAAAGACCCCCTGCGGATGGCTGAGGGTGATGCCTTCTAGATTTAAGGCAATATTCACTGTATTCTTATTTCACTGCAGGAAGGAATTTAATTCACATCCAGGCCTTAAAGTCCCGGGACACATTTAAACTGTTTACAAAGGTCTCATCCGAGATCTGTGTGCTTTGAGGGGGTGGGGGATTCAGATCTTCCTATAGCACTTGTATCCCTGTGTGTTGACCATGAATTTATATTCTCCTCAACATTCAAATGTTTTGTGAAATGCTTCTGTGGTTTGGTTTTATACAGTTTATTGGAAACAAATGTGTTGTTGAGTGTTTGGGGCAGGGGGTATGGGGGGAAATGATGAAAAAAAATATGAAAATGAACAAATCAAAATGCATTGAGTTCCCCCTCTACAAAAACTGAGCTGAGGGTAAGTGATCCGAAGTTTTGGGGGAAAAATAGAGCAAGAATTATTTTCCCTAGGCTGTCTGGAAGAATGTGCTGGCATCTGACTCAGTGCAGCCTCTTTGCTTCCTTCCAGCACAGTTGGCTTATGTGTGAATGTCTTTCTGTGTCTGTGTGTCTGTGTGTGAATGCACCTTATATCATACTGCAGCTTTGATATTCTATAGAACACTAAGAAGGCTAGTTATGAATTCAGTCCTTCTCAGGTACATAAGGAACTGGTTTCACATTCCTGGAAAGCAAGAGAGCTAGATGTGAGTGCGGGGTAGTCAGAACCTCAGAGCTCTAGCCTTTTAGACCATAACTCCCAGGATCTCCAACTAGCATGGCCGCTAGGACATTGGCTGGGGGATTCTGGGAACTATTGTTGGACAAATGGAACATGTTCTTTGAGTCTTCTTTGACAGCAGCCTTTCCTTCAACAGAGTTGATTCTGTTGTTGATGCATCAATTCCTCCAACTTTGAAGTGCCAGCCTTTAAATCTTATAATTTATTATAGTTTAACTGGTCTAAGATGGAGCTGATTTATATCTAACGATAGAGTAGGCAGATGTAAATCCCAGAGCAAGGCAGCTACACTGTGTAGTCAATTCTGCATCATGATATGACTCCCTAGTTGTTGAATTTCAATGTGAAGAATGACAGCATATTTTTAATTTCCAGATCTGTTACCTTCTGAAGTTCTCACTATGATTTTCAATATATCTGGATGCCTGCCTTACATGCTACCACCCAAGTGTCCGAACAATTGTATGACTAGGAAATATAGACATATCACTGGAGCCTGCAATAACAGGTATACCTACTGCGTATAATACTATTTTGCTGGGATGCTGACAAGTCTTTGGGTCCGGGTTCAAGTCTTTGGTACCAAGTCCCGTCCCACCTCTGAGTCCCTATTAAAAATAAGCTATTTCCCCCCAGGAAAAAAAAGGGGAGAGAAGGAGGGTGGGTTCCAAGTTGCAAGTCAAAATCGAGTCATTGAAAAACAGCTGAGTCGAGTCGAGATGGAGTCACTGATGCGACCTAAGTCCAACTTGACAGCGAGTCCTGCCATGTAAGTCCCCATCCTTGCTCTTTTGTTCACCTTTAGGTCAGAGATGTGATGACCTTGATCCAAAATTGACTATGAAGTGAACAAACTAATAGAAGCAAGAGTTCCTGAGAGAGTTAATGACTTTCTGACAACAAGAACCTGTCTCGGACCGCAAATTGGCTCGCTGCCTTTTATCATTGAGAGATAAGCAGAGCTTCGTTCACCTGTTTGCTTTCTCAGAGAGCAGCTCTGAAAGATTTGCTTGCTTGCTGGGAAAACATGGCTATGCGTATTTTGTTTGCCACTTGCTCTGACCCCGTTTTTCCTTTTGCCTCCCTCCTGTGCGATTGTCCCACTTTGCTTCCTACTGAAATTCTTGAGGTCTGCTTCCTTTGAGGATGCTAAAACTTGTTCATCTGTAGAAAGCAAAGCTAGTTCTGGAAGGCATTTCCTATAAAGAACAGACAATGGCTGGCATTTTACGAACAGGGAACACATGCTGTTCCACGCATTTATTAATATGGGGCCTGTTAAGTGACTTAAAATGAAATCTAAAGAGTGAGGAGTCGGACAGAAGCCTAAATTGCCCTTATTTGACACACATGCAAGAACCTCTCCTTTTCAGACACACTTGCCATGGGAAGAAAGTTCGGACAGAAGCCTAAATTGCCCTTATTTGACACACATGCAAGAACCTCTCCTTTTCAAACACAATGATGGTGGAGACAAGGCTAGTGAACTCCTCTCATTTTGTGTAATATAAAAAATGATGAGCATAACCTGAAGAGGACTTAAATCTCTCTCCTTGAGCATAGGCAAGAGCCAAGAGCATTTTTTTGATCGGGTGGATTCAGTTTATATTTCTCCCCACATTCTTCTTTGTTCACGTCCAAATTCCCCCTTTCTCTTCTCTGTGAGATCAGAATTCTGCCCTTGGAGAGGAAAGGACCACCCTGGACCCTCCCCCCAATGGTCTCTATGAAAGGCAGAAGAGTGAACTCATCATGAGCTCTCCCTCTCCAAGGGGATAGTGCCAACTGTGGTGCTAGAAATATGTGCTTTCCATTTATTTCAACTGAAGGAGCATCCATATGGACATGTAACTGTAATTCTGCTTATACTGAAACTAGCAGAAGTCTCATGAAGTCTTTTGAAACTAAAAGAATTTCATTGCAAGACTTCTTGCACCAGTAACAATTCAGTGATCTGCTATAATATTAATGCAATTGGGAAGAAAATCACCAGTTAAGCTCTTAAATGAATATATCATTGCTTTTAATTGAGTGAAATAGCACTATGTGCAGTATTTTATGCCATTTCAATAAAGACAAACCAACTGTAACTAATTTGAATGCTTTGTTAAGGCGTATGTCAACTTTCAAGTGTGAATCATTGCCATTAATTAAATGTATTACTGTCTCACATTGCTTTGCAAATTGAGCCCTTTGGTATACTGAGGATCAATGAAGTATTAATAAAATAATTGTTCTCTATTTAGTGTCCCCATAGCAATGTAAGTGTGTGACTAACAGTCTACAGATCCGCTTTCTTCTCTGCTCCGTATCTGCATCTCTCAGGGGCTTGGATGTAGATTTACTCACATATATTTTTGTTTTACATATCTCTTCCAGTAAATATGTATTCATATTTATTGCTGTTCTCATTATATGTAAATCCTCTTCTTCATTTACTCTTTAGAAACTTTCTCGAGTCTTTGTGGATCTTCTGCTTCAGGTATTGATAAAGCCGGCACCTCTTTAATTTCCAGTTGCCTCTGATACCATTTGTGGAGCCAAGCAGGGCTCTTGGCGGTAGGGCTGTCAGGTCTCAGGGTACTGTCCAACCACTGGGAATTTCCGTCCTTCTCCAGACAGGGAGGCGAATCTCAGGGCAAGTGTCACTGGATCAGACAGTTTGACGGTTGTTTCTGTAAAGCCTGGACGGCACTTCCACCTGGGCTCATTGGCTCTGTGTGTGTGTGTATATCTGAGAGAGAGGGAGAGGGAGAGGGAGAGGGGGAGAGAGAGAGAGGGAGAGAGACTATAAATGCACAATGGGCACATACAGCTCTCTGCCCGCTCCTATACTTTTTCAGTGCATTTGGTGGTGTCATTTTCAAAGAACTAGTCCTGTTCCGTTATAAAATAAAACCAAAGATAGATAGATAGATAGATAGATAGATAGATAGATAGATAGATAGATTGATTGATTGATTGACTGACTGATTGATTGATTGATTGATTGATTGATTGATTGATTGATTGATTGATTGATTGATTGATTGATTTGGTTTTATTTCATATATACATTTTTTTAAAAAAGTCAAAAACCCAGTTCACTTCCTTAGCAAATGTTTGAGTTAATGTCTGAGAAAGTGGATTTGATCTGTAAAGCCTCACGTTTAAATATAACACTTTGTTCTTAAGGGCAGCATGACATTTTTGTCTTCTTTATTCTATTTTTCTTTTGGTTTGGTTTTCATCTGATAGGATCCAAGGTGCAGATCACTTTAGGTGCAGCTCAAGCGCTTGGACATCTCACGCAATATATTTGTTTCCTTTCATTAAGTTAAAAAAGGCCGACAGTTTTAAAACATTCGATACCTGTTCCAAATGCATGCCACGTTCAAGGAAGTTTTGTGTTCTAGCCTTCCATAAAGCTCAGAGATCCCAGTGTTTTGGATATTTGCCCACATATCTTCTGCAATTAATATTTTGAAAGTAGTTGTGTTAAAACATCTTCTGCTTGCACAGGGAACATCCTCGGTGGGGAGCTTCCAACACAGCTCTGGCTAGATGGCTCCCACCCACTTATGAAGATGGACTCAGCCAACCAAGAGGATGGAACCCTGGTTTCCTCTATAATGGATTCCCTTTGCCTTCGGTCAGTGTACGGTGGAATTATTTCGACTTTTATTAATTCACTAGGTTTCTGTAAGTATGTTTCAATTAACATTTCAAGGTAGAAAAAAAATAGTGAAACATCAGATCAAAAAACCAAAATTCTATCAGCAGTAGCCAAACCACAATTAAATGGCAACCAAAAACAGCACAGAGGAAACAAAGCAGTACAAAAAGGGATGGAACAGAAAAGTCTTGACCTACTACCCAATGTATAGCAGCATGGCTACCACTTTAGACTGACCATTCTATAAAAGCCCTGTTGGGGCATCCAAAACACAACTAGGGGGCATGGAGTCATACACATTGGCCACACCTCTTCTGTTCTTGTGCCTCCTGGATCCTACCTCCTCAGTTCCTCACCTTGGCTCACTGAACAGGGCTGGAGCATGGAGGTAGCTACGTGGTGGGGGGAATGGGTTCAGGTCTGCACCCATTTCTCATGTTCTCTCACCCAAAGGCCTGCACAGGGCCAGTGCAACCAAGAAAGACCTCCCCCGCTTGGCATCCATCTCCCCATGGATCTGAAGGGAGCTTTGCCCCATGACTTCAGGGCTGAAACCGATGACTGAGGGACTGGATTCTTTCAGGTTGGCAGGCCCTATTCTTTATGAAATTAACCCCCGGGGCCTAATGCTATCTATCCCATTATTACATTATAGGGCAGCAGAGGTCATTTGGAGTGTATGGGACACTTGAGGACACACACGAGGTTACAGGGGAGGAAGCAGGTTACAGCTTCCTTGTTCTGGAGCCACAAAGACCTGAATCAGTGCATGGATCTATCACTCATATATACAGACTGGTTGTGGGAGCAGGGAGTGGGGGTGATTGGCTTGTGGCTACATTTTTGCAGCCTGGTTATCAGGAGCAGTCTGAGATGTGTTTTCTTTTCCTTCCCTTCCCTTTCCTGAGTTATTCCTGGGATTCCATTCCCCCCCCCCATTATTTAAATATTTATTTAAGGACAGGGTAGGGAATACAAAAAGTAGGGGGAAATAGGGAAGAGAGAAAAAAGGGAGTGGGGGTGATTGGCTTGTGGCTACATTTTTGCAGCCTGGTTATCAGGAGCAGTCTGAGATGTGTTTTCTTTTCCTTCCCTTCCCTTTCCTGAGTTATTCCTGGGATTCCATTCCCCCCCCCCATTATTTAAATATTTATTTAAGGACAGGGTAGGGAATACAAAAAGTAGGGGGAAATAGGGAAGAGAGAAAAAGAGTTAGGGGGATAGGAGAACACAGAGTATACCATCATCCAATCAATTCATATTACAATAACAAATCAACTTTTTGCTTTTTCACAGTTTGATTACCCTCCTGCTTTCATCTTATCATTTCATTTTAGTTTAATTCTATGTTACTCCAACACTATCTGGTAACTGCAGCCATTTATACAATACATCCCATCGTTCAGTTTCCTTTTGAATTGAACAGTCTTTCAGCCCATCTGACAGAATATCTATTTTTGTCACTTCCCATTGTGACAAACCCAGACCTACTGGGATCTGCCACAGTTAACTAAGCTGCCACCAACCATTCCCTATAAGAAGTCACACAGACCAGGGATGGATTTTCAACAAATAAAAGAATAAGGTT